CCCCCCCCCCCCCCCCCCAAGCAGCCCCCACGCAGAACCGCAAGCTCATGGAACACATCCGCGAACTGGAGTCCGAGATCGACACGCTGCAGGGCCAGCTGGAGGACAGGGACCGGAATGGAAGTCTGCTGAACTGTCTTGCGAGTCTCATCGCAGGAGACAAAGCTAGGGCCAAAGAAGAGCAAAAGCCCGGAGAACGAGGCCGTCTGCAGTGAGATTGCAGTGAGATGCTGAACTGCTTGCAGACCAGACCTGCTTGATTCAGATCGGACTTGGCAGAGGTTCCCGCGGTAGAGTAGGCTAGGGTCCTGAGCATTTGCAGGCAAAAGTTCGCCTTTGCAAATTACGAGATGATACTGTCTTCGGCATGTGTGCACATTGCACCGAGGCAAGACTAAGAAGATGCTTGTCTTGAAGTCTGTGCCTAGGGCCTAGCTGTCCTCAAAGTCTCGACTGGGCGCGGCCTTGTCGAGTGCGCACGTGCAGGAATCTCTCCACGCTCCATGCAAGCATGGCCGGATTTAAGCCTTACTGCAGGACAGAACAAGGTGCTCAAAAACGGAGTGGCTGATCCTAAAGTGGAGTGAGCCCCGGCCGTGAAACCGAAACAGCGTATCCCGAGCCCTCAACCGTGAACCCTCCTGAGTGCTAGGAGTGCAACCCACTTAAACGTTAAACCCTAAATCGCAAGCGCCTTCAACCCCACCCCCACTACTAATGCGAAAGGCCCTGAACCCTAAACCAGAACCCCAAACCCGAATCTCTTGTACCTAAACCTTCAGACCTACCCAAGCCCTGAACCCTCAAATGAGACTGATCCCTTAAACCTGCACGAAAGGAGTGGGTCGCGCCCAGCCGTCAATCCTAACTCGCCCAGTGCAGGGGCTGCGCCGCAGAGTGGGGGGCAGCCGTGAACCGCAAAGGGGGGAGAGTTGGGGGCAGCCGTGAACCCAGGAAAGGATTGGTGGGCGAGAGCGCGCACACTCGAGTCTGAGCACGCTCGCGTGGCTGGCCTTTCTATCCAATCTGCGCTTGACACAGGAATCCCCGCTACGGCGGAAAAAGACACGAGCCCGAACCTTACACTCGAACTTCACGCCTTGCCGTCGGATTGCCTTGATTGATGGCTGAGATAGACAGGAATGACATCACAGTACTGATTGAGCGAGCAGTGTCAGTCTTCACACTCCTTTCAGCCTGCTGTGGCGCATGGATCCGCACCTGGACGTCGGAGAGGATTGCAAGTACTGAGGAACCGGAGCTGGTTGACCTGGAGGCTAGGGCTGCGCATTAGTCTGTCAGCGATGTTGGATGAACTTGCAGCAGACCTTTCACATCATTCTCGCCGCAATCGCCATGATTCGCCCGTGCCGTGATACTGATAACAGTTCAGCCACAGCAGCTGTTAGCAACTTGTGGGTGGATGCCATGCTCAAAGACCTGTGGCTTCAGCCATGACACGAGCTAGTCCCAACTGCCCAAATCGTATCTCCAATCTTCATGTCCGTTTTCACTACGTAGTCATACTAGTAGCATATTGAGATTTGTGTTCAATTTGTATTCCCTCTATATTCAAGTCACAAACCGTCGTCACGACAGATTGTGCTCCTGCCCCTGGCTCAAACATCTTCTGAAACCGCACCCGTTGAAATCGCATTCAAGCCGTTTTTTCGCTAACAAAACAGATTACCGAACCTTCTCCGAATGTAGGTAGACAGCTCTTGCCGCCAGTATGCTGTCATGTCAGGCTGAAGAAGAGGGTGGCAAAGAGGCGCACAAACAAGTGCCATGTTCGATTTCCACATTATGTGCCATGGATTCAGCTACAGGTTTCTGTGCTGATGAAATTCTAGGTTCTAGATTTGCAGAGAAGCCAATAGCAAACCCTAGTGTACGACATTGATGTCGAAGCATGTCGCATTTGGCATCTCTTTCTGTCTGCCTTTCCTTGGTGCCCATGCTGCACACCCCTATGGCCCAACAAAAAACTATGAACGCCTCCGTTGGCCTAGAAGGAGAAGGACAAGGACGACGAGCAATCCGAGGTGGGGCTCCCGAGAAATCGCTGGGCCTGGTTTTTGTCTATGCCCTTGTTGTCAGAAGCTAAGCTTCATCAGACAGCTGCCCTTTATGGAGCCCTCATCTAGAATCCAGAGGAATTTGTTACCTCTAGCCCACGCAACAACATGTCTGACTTGGGTCATTGCAGGAGAAGAATCGTTCTCCCGAGCGCCGAAAGTCAGCAGCTCAGAATTCAACCATCGCCGATAGTAGTCCGCAGTGTAACGTCAGTACTCAGTAGCCACAGCCCCCAACGACGTGCGAAGTACCCCTTCTGGAATTCTAGAGACAGATCTTAAGGATTCCCCCTGGCTGACCTGCAAGGTCCGTGAGCCGCAGCAGGAAAGCCAACCGCGATCGCAGCCGCGGTGGTGAGCGAGATCGAAGCCGGGAAAACAACCGCGATCGCAGTCGTGGTGGTGAGCGAGATCGAAGCCGGGAAAACAAAAAGGAGGCAGGAAAGCATGTTGGGCGGGTGTGTTGTTAATTATAGGGACTCGCGTAGCATAAGGAAGCTGCTGTTGTCGCTGCAACTTTGCCGGTTATGTCAGCGTTTGCATGTTCGATGTCAATGCTTTTGACGCATGTGGACATGTTGGTACATCTTGCAGTATGCTTAGAGGCTTCGAGCAAGTTGGTTTGCCACGGTAGGCAGTTGTCAGGTAGCTCGGTCGAGGGAGCCGCGGCGGCGGCATGGCACCCAGAGAGAGGTTCACATTCTGACGTGGTAAAATCCGGTCAGGACACAAATCCAGTCATGACATTTCTTGACATACCAAGTTCGGCGAGCCGCGATGCCAAACGCGACCGCAGTCCGCAGGAGGTGTCCTACCACTGGGCTAACGCAAATGAAGTTGCCAGACGCACAAAAACACTGAGAGGAAGCCACCGAGAATGGTGCATGTTCTTACAGTGATTTGCTGCAGGACAACCGCGACAGGGATGCTCGCAGGCGGCCAGAAAGCTGAGCTTTTGAAACTTTGTGGTGTCACTATCGATGGTCGGCTTGGATATGAAGCATGTGTTGTTTGGCCCGCCTATGCTGAGGTCCCCGCGAAGCCGCGAGAAAAAGGCAACCTGCCGAGCAGAGGATGTTGTAGCAACAAGTGAGCAGCAGGACAGTGCTGATCTTTCTTTGCCAGAAGCGCATCGTCTTTTCTGTATTTGTTCTTTGCTGGTGGAGTTGAGCGTGCCGAGGCCGAGCGTTCGCGCGAGCGCTCGCGCGAGCGCTCACGCGAGCGTTCACGCGAGCCTCGCCGGCGGCGTGGAGCTCGGGTTTGGTTTTGGCAGCATGCAAGGGCCTGGAAGCACTGGCCTGGCTGGCTTCGAGACTTGCTGTTAAGCCTTTGTTGATGACCATACTGAGTTCTTCGCATAGCCGCGATGCCAAGCGCGACCGTAGCCAGAAGGCCGGCATGTCCGATTGCGGCAAAAGGTAGGTGCATCTGGTGCCAAGCGAAGACTGCAGAACATAACCAGCCGGAACTGTTCAAGGATGTTTGATTGCTTTTGCTGCTAAGATGTTTTCGGATCTAGTTGGGCCTGCCGCTTTTGCACCTTTTTCTATCTCTCTTCATCACAAACCTACACCAGGCCTTGGGGCAGAGCAGCAGCGTAGCACAGAGCACTCCCTGATGTTGTAGAGTCCACCGACACCATCCGACACAAGGGACATGGCACGAGAACCTCGATGCTCACCTGTCGTGATGTGCTTCCGCTGTTTTTGAATGCACGAGATCTCGTTCGACTAGGGCTAGGCATCGGGTTCCCACTGCTGTCACACGCGTCTCCTCCTTTGTCGGCATTTGTCGCTTCAGATGCTCTTCTCCTTTTGCAAGCCTCTAGTGTTTCTTCCTAACGTTGTGGGCATTCTCTTCGCCTCTATGAAGAAAGTACACTTAAAAAGATACCTGCAGACGATGCACATTCACAGTGACAGCATCTGGCCACGAATGTCCTTAGACTTCCAGGACCGTTCCAGAGAACCGCGTCGACAGTCGCGCCGACGGCGGGGCGACGGGCCTCTTGCACAGACCGTGCAGAGTGATGTGCGTCTTAGTAGCTTCAGCATCTTCTGGAACTGGTACTGTACCTATACTTCATTAACGCATCAAACTTCCATCACCGGAAGTCTTCTCTGCCCTGCACAGATCGTCGCACAGCCGCGACGGAAAGCGTGAACGCAGCCGACAGGCCTGGGTCTGAGCCAAAGCATGACAAGGCTGCCACACTTCGCAAGGAGCTGCAACTTGATTCAATGCCCTGCCAGGCAGATCGGTCCCGAGAGCCTCGGCGAAGGCACGTCTAGGACGTATAGTGGAAACGGGCAGCAGTTGCCGAGCTTTGTGAAGCAGAAACCTTAATCCGTAATCCCTGCACCACAACCCAGAATATCCGAGCGCCGAGCCATAACCCCAAAGCCATGAACCAAAGAAACTAAACCCCGAAACCACTCATGCAGCCCTTGCAGTCCGGCCTTGAACCTTGACTCAGATCTTCTGCTAGCCGCGATGCCAAGCGCGATCGAAGCCGAGAGGACGGGCTGGCCAAGCGTTGATAGACGGGTGATCCATGGACAGCTTACAGCTGATTCCGTAGGCATTTAATCCTGAATACAACGCTAAACGGCATAGAGTCTGCAGCTGATCGATCAATCCTCTGTGTAACTTGAACGGGTTGCCCAGTAATTAGTCAGTTGCTTGGTTCCTGTGCAGAACCAGGACGGCCGCGACAGGCATGACAGGTGGGACACCGGTGTCAGTCTAGCATCCCTCAGTTCTCGCAGCATAACGATTTCAGTACACACACACACACACACGCACACAGGTATGGCTAGCTAGCTAGACAGATAAATAGCTCGCTGATAGCTAGATTGCTAGATAGCCTAGATGGCTAGACGGATGGATGGAGGGAGGGAGGAAGGCATGGATGCATGGATGGAGGGACGGATGGACGGGTGAGTGAATCGATGAGCGGATGGATGAGCAGATGGATGAGTGGATGGATGGGGGGATGGATGGATGGATGGATGGATGGGTCGATCGGTCGGTCGGTCGGCCGGCATGCATGCTTGCACCCGTACCAGGTGCGGGTATTTTCAGCATAGGTTTATCTTCAGCATCAGGCTTCAAACTGTCCACGTTTGGAGGCCAAGATCAAGACCAACTGGTCGAAGCTTTTCCAAATCACGTGTCAGGTCGCGGTCCCGTGGCTACAGAAGGCTCGCTCGTGGTTCAACACGGCTTGCAACAGCGGTTCCACGACTTTAAGCGAATCAGTACGGCTGCAGCCTCGATCTACTCCGTAGAAGCAACAGGGACAGGCTGCCTTTCTATGATTGAAGCCGGCGCAGGCGGAGCCGAAGCCGGGACATGGGACGAGGCAAGGTCGGTCCTAGGTGCTCAGTCTCGAAGACTTGGACGAATCGAGGCTTCAAGACTTCGGGTGACAAAGCGGTAAAGCGGTGCTTGGTAGACGCATGTAGACGCAGCTGAGGGTATGGTGAACGACGGCAGGCTCAAACGCTTCCACTGTATTTGTTGTTTCATTTGCAGAAGGCACAGCGGCACCGCACTTCCCCAAAGCAGAGGCTGAACCACCCTTGGACTGTCAAGTTTGGATGTTCCCCAGGCGGCAAAGGTGGTGGCAAGAGCGAAAGCCTCAGCAACAGAAGCCGTGGCTACGACTCAATCAAACTCAAGCATACCGAAAGAATCATGCGTCTTCAGTTAGCTCTAATTGTTTGATAGCAGCGAGTCGGTCTTCTGTAACATGCAGCAACAAGAGCGGGCTCTGTTTTGAGAGCAGCTATGCTTGTTGTGCAATGTTGTGCAGCCTTCACATGTTGCTACACGGCTTTTTCCAGCTATTTTGTCTTTCTCGTTCTCAGGCATTCCGAACCTTTGCTTCCTCTATGCATCTTGGTGGCATCATCTTCGTGCATCTTCACCGGACAACAAGTCTGAGATGCCTGCAAGAATGCTTTGGAGTTACAGTAGCTTCCTTTGGAGAGACGTCAGAAAATTCACCACTGTCACCGGAACCGAGGTTATTGACAAGTGCCGCAAAGGCAAGCGGTTTCCATACGCTTGCAGAAATTCAATAAATCTGGTGATGATTGCAAAGTGCTGGAAGCTGCTGGCAGAACATATGTGACGCATGCAACTATGGCACTGCATGGTAGGCTGCGCAGATTCACTTCCGCACTGTCCATGGATGTAGAGAACTTTCGCAGGTGACCGATGTGAAGCGAGACACCCCGACGATCGTGAGTGCCGGATGCTTCGAGATAGGCCAGCAGCACAACAGCCTCTCACGAGCTCATGCTTCGGCTGGACTGAGAAGACCTTTCTGGCTTCCCTCTTGTCCCACCCTCCCCCCCAAAGCGTGCAGCCTGGCAGTTGGAGCATCCATCTCTGCTGACGGGCAGGATGGAAAACACCCCGTGCAAGTTCGGCGCGGACTGCACTCGCAAGGACAGCTTTGCTTAACGCATTTGTAGCAGACTATCGTAGTGCCGTGGTGTGTGTTTGGAGTTCTTACTGCAGCCCCTGCGGCGCAATGACTTTGCCATTGGCCAACTGTCAGAGCTCGGCGCCTCCGAGTTTTGCCTAGTGGTCTGGCTTTTTGGTGTTGTGAGGACTGCGTCTTTAAGCATCCTGAGGGCTACAGGAAGGCAGGGATCACAAGTGTTGGTGTTGAGTCTGAGCTGGACTGCCGACACCTGCACAGCCTGGCGGCGGGGGTGACCGCGACCGTGACCGCGACGAAAAAAAGCGAGGCACGTGCAGGGCGCCACCCAGCATGCTGTCGGCCACATGCGCTGTTGCGGCCGACGACGATCGGCTGCAGTCGGTCAGTCTTCTTGCAACGTGTTTTCGAGGCCGAAGCAGCAGCTAGGAGGCGAGAAGCGACGATGCAGGCATGGGCTGGGAGCAGGATTACAGTCTGGTCTTGCAGTGATGCGAGGAGTGGCAGGGCCCGGGGCAGGGCATTTCGGGCTTTTGGGTGTAGGGCAGCACCCTCCCACCCTCCTTGTCAGAACTGGTCGGACGGTGTGCGATCTCCGAAGTCCGCTCAACAAGCTATCAGCAATTGCAAAGGCAGCGCCGAAGTCGCAAGCAAAGCATCGAAGGACACTGCAGCCAATAGGCATTTGCAGAACGGGCTCGAAGGCTGACCCGCCCATCCAAACAGATGAACTCGTAGCTGAAGGATTCGACCGAGCCCTGACTGAGACTTCACCTGTACAAAATCATTTAGCGGTTCAGAGTTCACACACGGAGTACTATGGAGATGTTTGCCCAGCCATTGAGATGGCTTTTGACGGACTTTCCATAGGTTTGATTCGTGTGGTTCGTTTTGAGAGCAACATCCCACCGTGATGCATGTCGACAGCATGGCCTTCAGCAAGGGTGGGCTTGTTTACGGCCTCTCTTGAAGTCAGGCTGCTGTATCTTCCCAGAGTGTTGGCTGAGTACTTGGAGGATCATGGGACTTAGTAACTAGGGTTATAACTAAGGTAACTATACTTATAAGTAGTTATAACCCCAATTAAGGTAGTTATAACCTTACTTACTAAGTCCCATGGTCCTCCAAGTATCTAACACCCACACCCCTTCGGATGTCAGCGAGCCTTTTTCGATGCTCGCCGTCAATCTCCGCATCGCATCATGTCTACGTATTGAATCTCAAACAGCAGGTGCAGAGAGGGCTCCTCTGTGGATCTCCAGAGATCTGAGTGTGAGGGGCCACCGACCTGTTTCAATGCTGTGTTGAGTGCAGGTTCCCGCTACTGGTAGAAAGTGTCTCCGATTAAAGCCGACTCCTTAGATGCACAGCTCCCGTGGAAACAGCTCGGACAAAAAATCTGAGCGAAGCAAGCGCCCCATCTGCCTTCAGAGCCCCGTGGGAGCGCTGCTTTGTGTCAAGCCGTGGCCGCAAGTACTCACGACGAAGATTCAACTCTCTGTGATGCCGGACACTGCTGTGGAGCCCGAATATGTGTGCACTCTGGGACACTCGAATATCGCAGGCGAGTTTTTGCGGCTGAGAAGATTGGAGGCACTGCCTTGTCATGCAGGAGATAAAGCCAGAGACTACAGGAGTGTCCCAGCATGCACAGAGGCATATACAACTCAGTAGAGAGTGAATGCTTCTGAGTCTGCTGTGCGAGCCCGGAGCAAAAGAGAGCTTCAGTCCAGCATCTGGCGAATTCCTGACTGTGGTTCTGCATAAGCTTTTACCAGTTCTTTCCAACCGACTCGGATCGCAAGGGGCAGAACTGCATTGAGGCTGTCTTGTGAAGAGTCAGATTGTATCCGCACCTGCTGCCAAGACGCATGTTTCAAAGTTTCAAGCATGCTTAGCAAGATGTAACAAGGTTCAAGCGCTCACTCATGCTACCTAACTGTGGCATTTAGAGCAGTCCAGCAGACTGACACTTTGGAGCGATCGTCACACAAAAACAAAATAGCATCATTCACCCTACAGACTCAGAGACCTAAACATGTCGCGGAGCCAGGTGGCAGAAGCCTGTCAGTATCGGTTTGAGAGGTTCTGTGCTCACCTGCAAAGCTTCAGCCTGAGCGCTGCCATGTTCCAGTTTCAGACACCTCATGCAGCAGCGCATGCTGCAGCTCCAGCTGCCACCTGGATGATGTAGACGATCGTTGGCGGGTCGAAGTCTCCAACTGACGGTTGACTTGTACCTAAAACCTTTGTCCGAGGGAACCATGACTGGGTTGCCGAGTTCTAAGACCCCCGCCCAAGAAAACCCGCTTCCGTGCTGCCCAGTGCGAAAGCACCCAGCTCCCAGCAACAGCGGTACCTGCCTCTAATGCTCAGCCTTCGAAGGTTCGGCACAGCCCTCCTGTGCCTCCCCCCGGTCGTGGTGCATCTTGGACTCAATATGACTCAGGCAACCCCATGTGCCATCACAGCATTGGCGACACGCTGGCCTTCCGGGTTTAGCTTGGAAAGACCTTCGAAACACCCGACATTAGTACAGCATTCAGAACGGCTTCTCAAGACTGCTTCAGAACTCCTGTGCTGAGACGCTTGACGACCCCATTGCGTAAGTGGACGGAGCTAAGGAGATTCGTGCACACACCCAGGTCGTCGCGTCACTGCCTGCCGTTCGCCTTGGCGAAGCGTCGCCGCCTGCCTCCGCCCGGCCACAGGGCAGCAGGGATGTCGGGAGGATGGTGGCAAGAGTCTTTATGCCAGCTTTGACGAACTGAGTTTGCGTGGTGAAGGTGCTGGGATCCGATCGGTGTCAGTTTGGATCTGAACCTTGAGCAGGGGGACTTATTGTTGCACAAGTTTCGTGTCAACAGATCCCTTCTGATCCCTCCTTTCTCGTGCACATGCACAGGTCATTTCCTGCGCACCCGCTGAACAATCTGAGGCTGTTGACGACAACACCTCCCCCAACCTCTGCACGCAGTTCCTGGCATGCATGCAGAGCAAGGCATGCAGAAACTCGAGCGTCCATAGGAACCCGATTGTGCTTGATTCGCAAACGCTGTGCAGCAAGGTTTCAATGTCCGCAGCGTGCCCTCCGGCTTGCATCTTGCACCTCGACTTCGATATGCCGCACAAGAAGCGGCGTCGCGAGAGGTGCTCGTATAGTGCCAACTGCACATTTCGACAGGCCCAGCCTTCCTGGCAGCACACGCACTCGGAGCCGGCGAACTCAGCCGGCTTCGATATGCGGGCGCTGCGGCCTGCAACACTGCCTTCGCCGCCTGTGCTGCAGCGGGCCACCGGCCAAGTCGCTGTTGCCTCTTGGCTGCGCTTGTGCAGCTTAGATATGACTTCAAAGAAGCAGACTTGGGTTCGGGCTTCCTCTCTTCTCCATCGTGCGCAGGTCATCGCTCCGACGGAGCGCGCAGTCGCCCGAACCGGAGTGAGCGGTGCGGGCCAGCCAGCAGGGCGTCCGAAGGATCTGCAAGCCTTGCTTGTCTCGCAGTCTCACCATTCATGCAGGCAGCTGTCAAGAAAAACGTTAGCACTACGAGCTTGCAGGATGCAGAAGCAGCCGCCGTCGTGGAGAGGATTGTGGTAACTCGGAAGCGCTTTTCGCTGGAAGTTGTCCTGACATGTGAAGCGCTGCTTGCTTCTCAGCGGCATGACCACTCCGAATTTCCGATGCAGAACACTTCAAAGAATTCTTTAGTCGCCATGTCAGCTGGAGATTGAACATCTTCGACGAAAGAGCAACGAATCTGTTCGAGATGACCCCCAAACCTCCGATCTTGGAAGTTCTTGCTCTTGCGAGGTGCAGACCCCGACCACATGTGCGCAAGACGGTTCGCCGGGCTCGAAGGCCTCAACAGCAGAGCTTCACGGGGCAACAAGTGTGCCCGATTGGATCGAGTGTTAGCTTCGGCACAAGCTGACAGGCTGTTAGCTCAGAGAGTGCAGGGAGCTTGGGCGTCGACAGGTGTCAGCAGCCCCCCGGTCGCCAAGCTCATCGCCGCAGGCATCAACCAGAGCTTGCGGCCCAATTTGCAGTCGCTGCGAGTGGTGAGGGGCCTAGGCACAAACAGGCACAACAGTATCTTCGTTTCGACTTTGAGGCCGTGGCTCCAGGGTCACCCACCTCACCCCAGCTGGGCAGGGCCCGGGGCTTGGCATGGCTTGGCTAGAGAAGCGGTGACGTGTCCCCTGGACAACAAACATGACTCAATGACAATGACACGTCCGTTCATGGCCGTCAGAGCAGGGCGATTGGATGATCTGAGGCAATTCTCGCACCACCCTCGCCCAGAGTTACTGAGTGTGTCGGGAGCTCAGCTGCGCACCCTGCGAGATGCAAGACGGATGCCTCGAAGCCTTAGCCAGAGCAGCCGAAGCACGACGAGAACCTGCTTTCAGGAGCTGGAGCTACGCCTGTCCCAGGTGGCGGCTGCGCTCCTCCCGCTCGGGTCCAAGGGATTCTAAGGAACCTTGGAGCATAGGGGAGAGGGGGCCAGTCATGCAGCAGTCGTGGGCTGCTGAGCGGTTGAGAGTTGCTGCGAGATCGGGTCGATGCGAGTCAAATTCCATTTTCCGGATCTCTGGAACCTTGTCTGACAAAAGGCCCGTTGCTCAAGTCGGCATTGGCGATCGGACTGGCGGTGCAGGTCGGCCTGCTTTCAAAAAGACCTGAGCCCTGGACGAAACTGCGTGTCAACATACTCTTCTACTCGAGTTCCTTGCCAGATTTGCAAGCGCTGTTAAGTTTGTAGGTCGTAGGAGTTCCTGTTTCTGCAAGGGCATGTATGTTTGTGAGTTTGTGTCGCGGCCAAAGTAAAAGGGCGCAACACGGTGGAACTTCCAATCCAGCCAGGGGCGACTGAAGAGTTGGCACCTGCACCAGAAGAAGCCGGTGCCCCACGAGTGCACAACTTTCTACTGGTGGCAACCCATGGCATTGGCATAAGTGGGAGCCTAAAACCGGGCGGCACAAGCATGACATTGGTCAACTATTGGGAGCTTGCAAGAACGCCCTCGGCGACTATTTTCTGTTCTCGGCGCATCGAGGTCCCTCCCTGGAAACCCTGCCAATCCACTTCGCACCGGGCTCAGCCTTACGCAACTACTGTAGAAAACTTGATTCTGACGGTACGACGTCCCCACCTAGCATGTCTATCCCAGGTCCATAGCAGATGTGACCACGAGCAGTCAGGCCGGAAGCCAGTCGAGTCGGGACATCGTAGGATTGACTTGGAAGCCAGCTTCCGCAGAGAGATGCCCTTACCATTGATGTGACAGGAAATTGGATGGACCCCGTCGGCAACTTGGAAAGACTGCCTCGGGCCGGCTTGTAGGATGGAACTGTTCTGCATCAGCCGAGAATAGCCACCAAGCTGAGGAGAGTAGGTTCAAGCAGGCGAAGGTTGCGCCATGCTGCGCCTGAGCCTGTCTTAAGGTCGTTTACGACCTTGGCACACCTGAGGCCAGAATGCAGCACCGGTGGCAACAACATGCCGAAATGCTTTCAGTTAGATGCGTAAAGGGCAGCTCGTAAGAAACGACGAGTTGTCTCAGCTACATGCCCCGCTTGTGACTGCACACTGGCATGAAAAAAACTGAAGAGCACGTCCCTGGTTCCATTTCATCTAAGTTCAATGGCCACCGATTTTTGAGCATTTTGGGCGAACTCCCGGATGCTTTCGCGCCTGGTAGGCCCGAGGATGCCGATCTCGCTGCTCCAACGAGTCCAGAGGCCCAGAAACATCTGCCTTGGCTTCAACTCGATTGGTATACTCTTTCAGCATGCACGTTGAGTCACGTTGAGTGATCTGTGACACAGCTTCGGCTTATCCTACTCTAGGACAGAGACTCTGGCAAACGCTCAGAACGGAGTCTGGGTAATTTCATGTTGCTTGAGTTTCACAGCTCTGATTGTGCTGAGCATCATACTGCTTGGCCTTCGTTTCGGCTCAGGGTTGTTGGGTTTTGGATGTGGTTCGCGGCGCACAGCAGTATCTGAAAAAGCCTTTGTCAGGTCCAAGAGTCCAAGGCTTCCACTGCCGGAATTGGCAGGAGCAGTGTTTTTTGTATAAGATACGGGTGACTTGAAGCATGGTACCATCGCAGCATGACCTGCTCTTGCCCAGAGGCTCCGTGGCAGCAATGTTTGAGGAATGAGTCAGTATGAGTATGAGTAAACCATTTCCGAGTTGGACTTCGTGCACTCGCTTTTCTTGCATTCCACTGCGCTTGGGCTTCTCGCAGTCGCCATTTGAGTTACAGGCAAGGGTTTGGTAGTGCTTCGTGCGGCTTGATGCTGATCTTGCATAGACTCAAGGCAATGTCTGGTGAAACCACCGTGGATGCGTGGACCGTCGAAGCTTGGCTTCTGCTTCAACTCGGTCTGGAGCCTGTTGGTAAGTCGGAGTTTACAGCAGGCTAACCGCGTTTAGTTGCTTCATGTACTTGAGCAATGGCCTCTCTATCTGAGGCTGGCTTCAAGGCCCGTGAACTGGCAGGCCCGGGTGTTGTGACACGAGCATAGACACAGAGAAATCCTTCAGCGACCTTTTCCTTTGCCATAGCTTCGAGACCGGCCAACCGACAGCTGCTCCCTGGCCACCACAAGTGACGGCTGCTCGCCGGTCGCGGTGCCAGAGGCGGGCTGCAAAGTTAAAGTCGTTTCGGAGAGGGGCGGTACTCTGAGAAAGTGACATGCCAGTCCTTGTAGGTACAGCCAGCAGGGTACCAATATCGCAGGCGGGCTACACGGTTTTGGCTCTCTGCAGACGAATTGTGTCGGCAATTGAACATGAAGCACGGCAGTAAGGTGCAGGAACCCATGGCTTGCTTGAGCCTGTTCGTCACTTGCCGGAAAACCGGATGGTGGTTCATTCCGGGACGTTGCCACAATACTTGTGTCTACGACAAGGGCGAAGCTGGCATCCTGCCCGTCCCCATTTACCGGTAATGTTGTGTAACGGCAACGATATTGTATGGGTGTGGTTATAGCAATAGAAGTGGAATTTTGACTTCGCTCGGCTCTCAATAACACGCAAAGCTTGCAGGGATCTGCTTCTGAGCTTCCGGTCCTTGCTGCCGACACAACCTGCGGGCTGCGCCTTGCCGTGGCTGGTGCCCACTGAGAAGGTCTGGGAGGCCTCCAGCCTCTGTGAAGTTCGGAAATGTGGTGAAGCTGTCTACAGATGTGTTCAGTGTGAACCAGTATCGGGCATATAGGGTCAACTGGAACGCCCGACACTACGAACATCCAGGAATCTCATCTCAGGATAGCGGCGTATGCTCTCCCACCTTTGCCAGCATTCCCCAATCCTCTGCCAGCCCTGGTGGCGGACCCCGAAGCGGCGTACACGACGAGCGGAACCGAAGTGAGCGGCTCAGAGAGAGGGCGAGGGGCCGGGCGTGCTCTCAAGAGATGAGAGTGGAGCAGGTTGCCGGAGGAGGCGCCTGCGGGAGATCCGGCAGAGGTCCTCGGCTCAGAGCCGCCGAGGATGCAAGAGCCGAGAGATGCTGCAGGCGCTGCGGGCTGAACCGGTCCAGGAGGCCCCAGCCGTGATGGGTTTTAGTGTGGTGAGTGCGGTATGCGTGTGATACCGTCGCTACTAGTAGGTGCTTCCAGATCTTCCACAGCCAGCACCTGAGGATCAGGACCGGGGGACGGTCCTTCAAACGAGCCGCGAACCCGCTCCACACTCCAGGACTTCCTTGCGGCTTCGGTGCGCTCCAGGGGCCGCAAACCGCAAGCTGCCGTTCAGGTGGTCGGGGGCCCGAGCATAACAAGGTGGAAATTGCATGTATTTGCATGGATGGATGCATGCGTAGATACATGCATCTACGCTTACACAGGTGTGCGTGTGCATAGAGGCCGTGTGATATGTGTATTTTGTGTCACATCGGTATCTACTTCAGAAGTGGGCGCTGAGGTTTGCTCCTTCCACACCAGGGCTTGGCCTGGTGCTCGCCGCCGGCGTGAACAGAGAGACCTGCTAGAGTCGTCAAAAGGAGTCTAGCAGAATGAGACGTGCTTGGCCCAGCTTGCCCAGCTTGCTGGGCCACCTAGGTCTAGGTGCATGAGCCATGAATCATGAGCGATGTTCCAAGTGTCCGCTACAGCTTCAGCTTTGCTTAAGGTCGATAAGGGCACTGTAACTACATCGTGGTGTCAATGCCTGGTCCTTGTTCTAGTCTTGGAGCTTGACACTTGAATAATGTCTGCTCGTCTTGGTTCTCCCTGCTTGGCCGTGTAACGGCCAGCAGTGCATCGGGAATTTCGCTATACGTGCTCTGCTCGTGGGTACTGGTTTAACACCTGCAGCAGCTCGGCAGTGCCAATGCGAATTGCGTTCGCAGAGGACTTGAGTGGAAGTCTAAGATCGAAGGGGGTCACGCTGCAGACCTCTCGAACACGATCAATTCACTATTCGGTCACTGCTGCCGAGTGCACGTCTCTCTCGTTCTCTGGAGACCCCCAGAACACTCTTTCTGTGTAGACTGTTCAGGAATGCGAGATGAGACTAGTGCGCTCTAAATGATTTGTCAAGCGGCACCTGGTCATGTACAAAGTTTCTTCGGCAGTTGCACGGTTTTGTGAGACGAAACACTGACGCTATGACCATGCTGCTTAACACAAACAGTTAGCCCCTTCGACATCCAGGATCCTCACACATCCAGGCAGTTCTGCCGACCAACAGGAGTTCCCTTCGGTATCTCGAAAGCCGCCTCTGGAAAATTTGCGTGGTACGAAGCCAGTGACGAAGCATCGCTTGCAGCAGCCTGATAGGACTTGTTCTCTCTGCTTTTCGGGCAGGTCCCGACTGAAGACAGCCAAGATTCGCCACAGGCTCCATCATCCATCCCGTTGTGGCTGTCGTTGCTGTTGCCGTTTTGGGTGCTGTTGCTGTTGTGGTTGTGCTTGCCGTATGTTGCCCTTGCGTTTGCTCTTGCTCTTGTCATTATCATAGTTATTGTCCTTGTTCTTGTTTGTTTTTTGTTGCTGTTGCCGCTGCTGCTGCTGCTGCTGCTGCTGCTGCTGCTGCTGCTGCTGCTGCCTCCTGCTGCCTCCTGCTGCTGCTGCCTCCTGCTGCCTCCTACTGCTGCTGCCTCCTGCTGCTGCCTCCTGCTGCTGCTGCCTCCTGCTGCCTCCTACTGCTGCTGCCTCCTGCTGCTCCTGCTGCTGCTGCCTCCTGCTGGTCCTGCTGCTGCTGCTGCTGCTGCTGCTGTTGCTGCTGCTGCTGCTGCCTCCTGCTGGTCCTGCTGCTGCTGCTGCTGCTGCTGGTCCTGCTGCTGCCTCCTGCTGCTGCTGCTGCCTCCTGCTTCTGCTGCTGCCCTGCTGCCTCCTGCTGCCGCCTCCTGCTGCTGCTGTTGCTGCCTCCTGCTGCTACTTCCTGCTGCTCGTGCTGCTTCATGCTGCTGTCTCCGGTGTGGGTGTGGGTGTGCACGTGTTGTTTCGAGCTAAATACTTGTTATGTGATTGCAGTCCGGATCGCGGGTTTTTACGTATCATACGACAGATCAAGGCATCGCAACAAGTCGCAATCTTGGAGGTGTATCCTATGACTCTCTCTCTCTCTCTCTCTCTCTGCTGACACCACGATCAGGAGAAGCCCAGCCGTTTGTCCATGGTTGGTGCCTCATTGCGTAGCTTCAGCAAGTAAGTTCAAGTTAAATGCCAGCATGCTGCGAGACAAATTCCAAAGAGCGGCAAATCGATCACGTGTCAGAAAGGGCTGGTTTCCGCAGGGATAGGGTTTCTGTGCCTCTTCAGTGTGCCTGCCAAGGCCCCGACAGTTCATGATGCACACTGCAAAGACTCGGACGAGAGTGAGGCTCGCTACGATGTCAACACTTGCCTGCCACGATTACTGAGCGATGACTCTCTCTCTCTCTCAGATCACACAACCATACAGGTTCACTTAGAGAGTTAGGAGATGAATCGTGCAGGTGATCAGCTCGCCCTTGTCCACAGAGGCACTCCCTGCAGGGCTTAGCAGGGCTACACGGCGGTGTGCGACCTCGACTTTGCCAGGAGCCATGGTCTGCGCCGGTGGATTCTGCACCGAGGCATTTCGAGATAACTCCATGTTAGTCGCAGAGATCACTCGACGGCCGCTGATGCAAGTTCGAACGTCGCTCTTTGTGGCTGTTGCAGGCAGGAGATCAACGAGCCTTCTCCACAGGCCGCAGCCCAAGGAATGCAAGCGAAGTCCGCCTCCGAAGCGCGAGTCGCAGCTCAGCTCACGTCTCAGACGTCTCAGAGTGAACTCTGAGGCGCTTTGCGCAAAACGCGGGCGCTCGCAGGCCGAGGCCGACGAGGCGGCCGAGGCGGCCGAGGCGGCCGAGGCGGCCGAGGCCGAGGTCACCCGCTGCCCGGCCGACTTTGACCTTTAAAGAGACGCCCTTTCGGACTCTTTCGGCGCGATTTTACGGCTTCCAAGGCCTCCAAGCTGAGCTTGAAGAGCTTCAAGGCACCCTCACCAGGGAACGAGCCCTGCGCGATGAGGCGGAGGCAGCAGGGCCCCCATGTAACAACCGTGCCACCGAATCTCAAAGAGCATGTTGCTGCTTTTGCCGCAGACCGCCCAGAGCCGAACGTCAAAACGCCTGAGCAGCGCCGAGGACTGCTGGGTCATGCTTGATTCGTGGGCCTGAGTGCCTCGTTGCATACAGTTTCGTGGCGTAGTCGTAAGTCACGTGTGGGAGAGGAGCAGCAGTTTAGCTGGTGGCATGTGGTGTGCCATGCTATGGTGCAGAAATCGGAACACGTCGAACATCCAAATCTTAAGGTGTTCACTCTATCTTTTGTACGTTGTAGCAATCAGTGTGAGCCTTGATTCTGAGACTCTTCTATGTCTGTCCCCACCATCCTGCTCGGTCAGGGGCGCGCTGCGCAGCTAGCAACGCAGCTCCAGCGATGCAAGGTGTCTTGACCAGATGTGGCAGAAGACTGGCTGAGGGCCTACGACACCAAGGAAGCCAGGCGTACCTAATCCGAGTGAATGGCGTACAGAATAGAGCCCTTGTCGTGTGTCGCTGCCTTTGACCATCTGGCCATTCATGCCAGACTTCCTTGACTTGTTGCGGATTGTTTATGCGCCTATCATCTTCCGCCAGAACAGAGCTCCCCACAGCTCAGCGACATCTGCCCGCCGGGTCAGTGCCCTCATGTCCGGATGCTCGCTAGGTTGAAAGAGACGAACTCCGGCGCCAACTGCACGAGAAGTCCGAGATCCATGTGGAACCCGGGGGGGGGGGGTTCAGGCTTAAGATGTGGCTGGGAGGGCCGAGACCATCCTGGACCCTTCGTAGCCTCGAGTTGGGATTTGCGAGGAGCTTACGCGGAAGCTTCGCAAAGTGCAGGAGGCCAGCCAAGCACACCTGACTTTCAATCCACAGCCCTTTGCTTGTAGTATGGATGGAAGCGTCATCAGTGGCAAACTGTGCCACATAGGTGACGGTCAGTGCGACATGCTGAATCATGCTGCGAATCTTGAGTTCAACTTCGTCCAGGCCAATCGCTCCCTGGATAGTGAGCTCAACAAGACGGAGGCCTGTTGAGAGGTTTTGTTCGGCAAGATGTTATGTGCAGGTCTGTAGACAAGTCCAGCCTGTCCACAACCATTGCCATGCAAGCAAGCTAAGAGCTTGGCGATTTGGCTCACAAGCGCGCTCGATGAACCCTGACGCATCCACGAGGCGCTGCGCCTCGCGGCGCAGAATCGCGCAGCAGCCGCGCAAGAGGCCCGTGGCCAAGCGGAGGCATCCCGGTGGGGTGCTTCGACGTGTTGAGGATGGGGAATTCCTGGTTTCGATTGTTAAGCTTCGCCGTTTGCTGCAGGGTGCGAAAGACAAGTGTTGCTGAGGATTTCGGAAGCGCCCAGCATGTCATAGCCGCAGCGTTGAAGCTGGCCAGCCAGGCACTGCTTGATTCTCTGCGGGATCTCCTTCGGAGCGTCGATGAGGCCGCCGTTGAAAACTCCTCCCGGCCTGGGTTATTTCAGCACTGCCGAGCAGGCACTGCCTCTCGTTCGTCTGGTCTACAAATGTGATCACGTAGGGATCTCCGAGCATCGGAGATTAAGAAGAAGCAGGGCTTCGAACAAGGTGGTAGGGCAGCGCCCGGTCAGGTTGACAGTGCCCAAGCTGCGGTCAGCCTTACAAAGGTCAAGGAGCAGTGCGCTCCTCAATTTGTGCAAGCGGCGTCAGACACTGCCGGTCCAAGTCAGACTTGCGCTTCCAGCCCAGATCAAGACAAGTTTGATCGCCATGCAAGGTTGGAAGGCTTTGCCGCAGAGCCTCCTCAACTTTCAGCTCCCAAGACCAAAGATCCCGAGGCTGAGGATCTGCAGAGTAAGTGTGCACGAGACCTCTAATTCAGCCCTTGGGTTGTGCTGCAGCAGGGAGGATCATTTTCCTTTTTCACAGAGGCTTCAGTTAGTAATAGCTTCAGGGATGTTGGGCCGTGAAGTTCGAAACCCTTAGCATGCTCAACACTTTTTGTGTCGTTGCAGGAGGAGCTTCCCACTGCCGGTGGCCTATTGCGCGAGTGGGCCTCTGTCTATGACAACGCAGAGGCCGGGCATCCCGGTACAGTACCGTCACTGATACAGACTTATACAGACATGAAAGCAGAGCGGCATAATCAGAGCAGAGCAGGTTCACGGGGTCTAGCTGAGTATAGTCGTATTATGCTGACGATAATGGAATACCACCTTTACTGCACCTAGGGTCGGGATCCCGTGTTTTCCTGAGAAGCGAGCCCGCTTACGAGGAATCTCGACGAGATCCGCCAGCAGGCCCAGTGCTGCTGCAGCAGAGGCCAGCCGTCGTCCAAAGAAAGGCTTAGGGCTTTTTCTGGCCATGTCTTGCAAAGGATCCTGAAGTTTTCTAGCCGCATGTTGCCGCTGCAACTGATCCCCGGGACTCTTGAAAGAACAGAGCGTTCTTCGACCTCGGGCCAAACCCTCTACAAATGCAAACTTGTAAAGCCCGTTGCCCCTTTTGTGGGAGATTTGCAAACAGATGATCTCTCCAAAGCATCTGCCGGATCCTACCTACTTGCTTTAGCCAGGAGCCCCAGCTGGAACAAGGCCACAAAGTCGCGAGAGGCAGGCAATGGGGTCTAATGCTTCTGGCAGGTTCACTAATTATGACCCGGGTTGACTAGCGAGTTTTGTCAACTGAAATCGTTAATCCCTCTTCAGGTCCACGAAGCTTCATTGGCATTTTGGTCTCTTTGCCATGCAGGTTCCTAGCTCCTCACCGCCCAGTGCGCGGGGCGTCGGCGAGCAGCTGGCGCAGCTCTCTCTGCGCAACGCGGCGGCGCTTCGAGAAAGATTTTAAGGAAGGCCATTATGGTGCCTTGCCGAGACTAGGAACCGCAGCATCCATTTTTGGCATCTTGGAAACTCGCATCGTCTGAAGACAAAGCAGTCTGAGTCTATGTCCTGGAACACACTACATGGCTACCCAATACACAGGGTAAACAGCCATCTTTGCAATCTTTGCATGCTTATCATTATACTGTTACACATCATCCACGCGACATTTTCAGACTGAGAAAAGAAGCAGGCTCCGCTGGCATACGCTCACTGCAGACTGCTCTGTGCATCCAGCAATGGCCAGAATATATGTGCAATCCCGTCCAGCTTCAGTGGCTGTGGACCCACAATGCTGTCTACATCGACGCGTCCAACGCACACATGTTTACTTAGTGCGCTCAAGCGGTATTGCTTGTAACTGTACGACACTTCATCAAGTAGCCCAAGAAAATCATTTCCAACCTGATGCAACTGAGGGACCCAGACCTGGTTCCTAACGAATGCTGGCAGCATGCGCCGTAGGCTCTAACTCCTAACGAGGGAGACAGTGCGTCAGTCAGATGTGCAAAGGTGATCTCTCAGAGATCAAAGCCCTGAAGAAGCCTCCCCCGCCAATCCGCATGCTGATGGAGGCCAAGACGTCGGTTCGCTGCAGCTCCAATTGAGTCAACTTCTGCGCATGGCATCATGCTTGGCCAGCAGTCTAGCCAATCGAACATGTCTGTAAAAGGGGCGCTGTAACTCAGCCTCCCAGTGCAGCTTCCGCCAGTCGACGCGGTCAATCCCATAGCCTGGAGGTGTGCTGCCTGCTTTTCCACATACAGCCTGTGAAGCACTTGGACGAGCAGTGCGTTCCTTCGCAGCACTGTCTTCCAACCATTCTGCCATTTGAGCGTGTCGGCATTTGTGCGCTACACTCTGCTATGTTTGCCCACCGGAAGCCCCTTTGATCCACATGCTCCTTCCTTTTCATTTCGATGCCCAGGTTCACCATCGTTTACGGACCGACTACTGGGAACCGGCAGGTGCCTCAGGCAGCCTTCGGACAGATGCCTTTGGTCCCCGGAGTCCTCTAATGCTCGCCGGGGACAAATTGGGGGGCTTGCTGCCTAGGCTCGGCGGTACCTTCTGTCGGACCCGTTTCTCCTTTCCAAACTTCGATCTCACGGCAAGGCCTGTGCGAAATTCAAAGATCTTGGCTGAGCTTGGCATGGCTCAAGGGTTTTCTCTTCATGCTTCAGAGTCTCTGCAGGACATTGCGCCTTCTCAGCGAGCTAAGATCAAGAAGTACTTCAAGGCAGGGCTGGCCAGCTCTTGTCTAGCAAGATCTGCTTCCCGTGCTGTAGAAAAGACCTTCTATTCGAAGGATCCGGAGTTCAGTGCGGAGCGGATGCTGAAGTGTTCCCGGGCCAGGACCTTAGGCTCCAGGTTGTGAGTTCAGGGTGAGTTCAGGGTTTACGGATTGGGGGAGGGCTTAGGTTGGGATTGAGGGCGAATATCTGTTGCGTCAGCAAATGCCAGCCAGGCAATGACATGCAATGGAACATTGCACCCACATATTACATAAATCGATCGTGTACGTGTGCATTTGCACAGCCTTTCCTCCTTAGCGAATTCCACTTTCAGGCCGCATTCGAGCTCTACTGCTGTGCCACTCGATTGCAAGAATCAAGGATTTAACTGGAGCCATGCGCATGCTGCTGGGCACGGTTTTGTCAAGGTATCTATCTCAAAACGAGGCATGCATGCACATGCCTATATAATATGTACATATATATATATATATGTACATGGTGTGCATGCACATAAGCAAGCATGTCAGTCTGTCTCCGTGACTCTGCGCGGTGCATATCTGTACATGTTCTATGTCAAATGTCAAAAACTGAGTGATTGATCCAAAAAAAGGAAGCAGCAATATAACACAAATGGCGGACATACCAGACGATATAGTCTGCCCCTGTGCCTTCGCTCACATCCTGCTGGCTGGTCGACAAGGGTGTAATCGGTTGCTCACTGGCTTGGAGATCGTGTTGCTGGCAGCCAGGTTTCGCGCTTGATGGAGCTGGATGAGTGCCCTGGTAGCATCGAAGTTGGAGGTTGTGCAGAATCCACCTGGCATGTTCAAATCGTCTAGCTGGGTCTGCCGAGCAGATTCGCGAATTGTATGAGCTGACGGGAGCTGCAGCAAGAATGCAAGATTTGAATTCAGCTTTCTCGTGAGCTCTATTGTGACTCAATTGTGACCAAGGCCGACGATCCCATCTTTCTCTTGTCACAGCGATGTGCGAAGCGTCTGGACAGCGGTCAATTTCACAGCCTGTGGTTTGTAGCTTTCGTCGGCATGCAAAAAGCTAGGTGTCAGACTTGTTTTGACGCAGGTGAGGCTTTCTGCATGTCTTCAGGTGTGCAGCAAATTCATCACCTCTCTGCAGCTGCAAAACCAAGATTGCATTGCCAACCTCCAAGGCGTCGCATGTACCACCACTACTGCAAGCAGCAATGAGACCATTGCCTCCGCAAAATGACGCGATGAGTTACTGTAGTGGTGCGGCAAAGAACGCGCTGAACAAGAAAGGTACTCGATCGAGACGAAAGATGATACTATATTCTTGTTTTTCCATTTTGAATAAAAGCCAATATGTTTGCTATTAAAATCGCAGAAAAAGAAACTAATGAATTTACAATAATTACTATAGAGGTTTAGATTAATTCTTAAAAAAATTCGTTCCAGATTTGTGTTGCTTTTCCGAATCTATTGATTTTTCGAATTATATAATGGTTATATTTATTCTATAAAATATACTGCTTCTTTCGGTTTCGGATTTGTGTAAGATGGTTGGTTGCCGGTGCGAAATTACGAGAATAGCGGGATTTCGGGATCGCTATAAAGATTTATGGTTATCTGCTATGGATTTGAAAACGATTTTAATATGAGACCTAGAAGTTCCTGGTATATTGAAATAATCATTTAGATTCGTTATATAATTTCAAGTTCTTGATTTATTTGAGATTTCGGGATCTCGTATTGAATGAAATTCTGAAAATTCTAGGAGGAAAATTATTTTCGTATTATTCTCACTAATTTCATATAAGTCATGATATAATATATAGAATATATTTCTGGTTTGATTAATCTACTCTGTAAAGCGCTACGGCCAAACGGGCTCTATGCGGTGCAGCACGCTTCGGGGCGCCTAGGCTTCAAAATTTTGGAGAAATTTACAGACTACGGCGCGCGAGCCGGTTCGGCCTACCCAAGACCCAAAATTTCCGGAAAATTTAGAAGCTCGGGCTGCAGCTTTAAGAGGGCGGGGCCTCTTCGGTAGTCTCGGGCTAGGCCCAGTCTTCTAAATTTTCGGAAAATTTGGGGATCCGGGTAGCTCGACGCCTCGGTCTCGAAATTTGCGGAAAATTTTCAGTCA